TGTGTGATAGATAGATAGATAGATAGATAGATAGATAGATAGATAGATAGATAGATAGATAGATAGATAGATAGAGCTCCTGTGTGTGGCTGAATGTGAGCGTTGATGACTGGAAGACATCTTCTGCCTCCATTTATCTGTTTACTACAGTCTGTTGAATTCATTTTCATGTGGATTTAAAGACATTTACATTCGAGACATCACTACTGATCTGCGTCCAGACTGCCTAAAACAACTCCTCAGGCTTTTTAAAGGCTGTTAGAACACAGCGAGCCTCTGTGTGCTCATCACTGAGGTTCATTTCTGCTCCTCAGGTCCGCGTGAGCGCCAACCTGCGCGTGTACATCATGGCTCTGGAGGTGGACAGCTCCGAGCTCCTCCGGGTCCTGAAGCCCAGCCTCCCCCTGGAGCGCCTCCACCTGGACAGCTACAGCACGCTGGTGACCGACGCCACCCTGGAGCTCATCTCCCAGCAGTACAACAAAACCCTGACCCACTTCCTGCTCCTGAGGGATGGCCCCGACTTCCCCGACCTCAGCGTCAACCGGAACGAGGACCCGCTGGTGCTGCTGGCCTGGAGGTGCACCCAGCTGGCCGTGCTGGTGATCCACGGTGAGTCCAAACTAGAGTTGTCACGATACTAAAATGTTCAACTCGATACCGATACTCAGGAAAATACTCGATACTCAATACCATTTTCGATGCCACAAGGATAAAAACAAAGACCCTTTGGTTTCAAACTGACCTGTTACTAATGTTATTGTGACTGGTGGCCCGCATTAATAACCCTAATCCTAACCCTGACCCAACAGCCTTAATAATTGTGAGAAATAAATATTTTTTGGTTAAACTTGTTTGGACTTATTGTACAAACCTATTAACGTTACACTATTTTAACATAATATTATGGATAGAGTTTAATTAAGTGTTCGAAAGTTTAATTTCACTATTTTTACATTAATGTCTATATTGCCTGGTGGCGGGGGGGTATCGATACTTTTGAAAATTAGTATCGTATCAGGATACAACATTTTAGTATCGAGACTTTTTTGAGTATCGATACTTTTGACAACACTAGTCCAAACTGGGATCCGAACATAGTGTGAGCGGCACAGTTCGATATCTGGTTTATATTTCCCCCCGGACTCTAACTAATGCTCTGAAATAGCTCAGTAATCAGTACAGACATCAGGTGTGTTTTTATGAACTAATTAAAAAGGTGAAATGTAATGGAGTCTTTCTCATTAAAGCTCCTTTTCATCTAGACCCTTTTCTCCACGTCACCATTTCCCACACAATGCAAGTGGCAGAGTGAGGCTCCATAGTATAAAAACTATCTTAAAGGTTAAATTCTGCTTCGATAAACAGCCTTTCT